GGGTTTGTAAACTGGTCGCAGGGTTTTTTTTTTTGTCCTATTTAACCACAACAGCTTCAGCAAAACCATCAAAAACATATATTCAGTATTTATTTGGTAGTAGAAAGACACATGTTACAGTCAGCAAGTGTCCACATACTTTTGGCCATACAGCCAAGTGCAGTACCTCTACCGCACACTGGGTGGCGCTATTAGGAACAGGTCCAATACGGAAATTCAACTCGGAAGAAACACGGATTGCACTTCACTAGTTCCGCTGTGAAAAAAAACAACATCCAATGCAGTCCTCCTCTACAGCCGATATCTGACATCGACCGGTGACTGGCCGTCCGCCTGAACACTGGCATGTAATCCGGCCGCGGTGAAGCTTAGCACAGCGTGCAGGAGCAGCAAGCGGCGGGGTGTGGATGTGCTGATAGCCTGGTAGCGAGCTCACCTGTCCGTGTGGTGGTGATGGAGAACACCGAGGAGTCAGCGCCCCTCCGGATCACTCCGACCGTCCGGGCGCTGAGCTCCGCACTGCGGGGGAAGCGTGACAATGTCCCCGATTCGAGCCGGGAAAACGGCGACAGGATCTTCCCCGAACCGGAGAAGCTTTGGTTCAAGGAGAGCAGCGCTAAAAATCTGCGTAACAGGGACTTCTTGTCGCCGACCACGATGCTTAACACGCTGTATGCGGACGGACAGGTTGGTCTGACTGATACCTGTTGGGGTTTCCTGCATTTTAACGGCTTTAATGTCCATTTTATGTCTCACCACATTAACGAAAGCAGCTTTAGCTACAAAAAAAAAAAGAACATTTTTAAAAACACGTATCACCGCTGATGTACACAACTGTTAGCTGGTTAAACCTGTTCAACTTCATATGGCAAGAAAGTCTACATTTTATTCTTCCGCTGAGCACTATAGTCCCTGAGCGGTTGCCGTTGGAGACATGTTTGTCAAGGTGCCACTGGTTTTATGTAGCGCAGTAATATTTAAAAGGACGGAAGGTGTTTTCAACGGTTTCGAACGTGACTCGGCCAATAGGAGCTGAGTACCGGAACTATCTGCTTCATAAGGCACAGCCGAGTCCAACTGCCCGAGAAACAACGTGAAAGCTGAGTTCAGTCCACAAACACTGAATAATGAATGTGTTTAAATGCTACTGACAGAGCTGAGTGGCCGCTGACTTGGCCCCATCATGATCGACCACACTCTCAGCCTGCGGCAGTAATTATTAACCCATGAGCGGCAGCGCAATGTGGGTCAGACAGACACCCACAGCTGTACGCGGAGCTAGCTGTGCTAAAACTGGGGTGGCGCAAAATACACGAAGGCCTGTTCCCAAAGCGTGTTAAATATGACGTTATGAAGATTACATGCGACTGTAAGTCATCTTAACAAATGCATCTTTCAGCCCCCACCTCTGGCACGTTGCAGCTGTGGGCGTGTTCATGCGTCCCTGTGTAGGAGGATGCTTCCCTGTAGTATACTTTAATACACTACACATGCACTCATTGGGGTTTGAAGCAGATGCTAAAGACAGTGATGTGCAGGATTTTGCGCAAATGCATGTGCAAATCAGTTTTTCCAGACATGCTTATCTTAAAGGTTAGAGCTAAAAACAAACCCTAAAACAAACATGTTCACTGTGATATCTAATGTGAAAGTATTACATTACATACAAATCAATCAGACAATCTCAAAATGCAATTTCCACCACACAAATGTTGCCTTTTAAAGGAGATATCTCGCAGTGTCAATGGATATCAAATGCATGCCAGTATACTGTATCAGACCACCTCTAGTACTGGGCATTTATGCATATATACCTAAAATACACTCTTCTCCCCTCCTTCCTTTCTCACTCACATATAGTTTTCTTCATGCATGTATATGAGTGTCTGATCATTTCCCCCTATCTGCCCAGGTCCCTCCAGCAGTGATGTCCAGGGTCCTGTCCCTCCGTGGCACTGGGGTTCTCCCTGTGGCTGGTGGGGAGGTAATGGGTGAGGGACTGAGGGTGAGGGTGGACCGGGCAGCAGCCTTTAGGGCTGTCCTGGCAGGTGGAGCCACAGACTACCTGAAGCCCTCAAGTCAGAGGCAAGGCTGTGTGGTGCTCAACTGCCCCGCGCTGCACCCTAAACCCAGCACTCCCACTCCGGATACACTGACTCTGGGCCAGCTGAGGACTGTTCTGTTGGCTGACCACATGGGGGCGCTGTTGAGAAGACAGGGGTAAGTCTGTGGCGTTAATGACAGAAGGGGCTTGTGAATGAAAGGAAGTTGTGTAATGGTCTGTAGAGCAGATGTGTGTATATATAGTGTGAATCATAAACAAATTCCTCTGAGCTTTACCTGTTTCCTCTAACAACGAACCTAATGATAAAACAACCAGCTGCCAAAAATCATTTAAATCAAACTGGTTTAAGAACCAGAGCTAAATTGGTAGAAAGGGGGTGCTCCTGGTCCACACTGCTTTCACTTCCCAATAGTTCCCGTTTAAGACAACGATTGCAGTATTTTTCAATCATTCATTTTACCTCTGCTTACTATCCTGCAATCACGTTTTAGCTCATAATCTTGGATTTCTACATGAGCTATGTGCTTGAACGTGACAACGTCGCAGGCTGATGCTGAAACAAATTATTACAGGAAGTGCAAAACTTATTTAAATTTGCATTTCAGCGACCTCATAGTTAAAAGCATTTCCATTTGAAAATGTGTAGTATGTTGATAATTTTATATTGATTAATTGTTAAATATTTCAGAGATTCCTCTGCTACGGAAAACTATATGAAGAGAAACTCTCATAGTTTGAGAACCAGCTGTTTAATAATATTATATTAATATTATTAATTTATGAAAGAACATTTGGTTTCTGCTTGTAAAATGTGAATTACATCTGTTTTATAACATTTATTTTTAAATATCTTTGGGTTTTGGACTGTTGCTTTTACAAAATAAGCAACCTGACGACGTCAACTTGGAACTTTGGAAACATTAATGGCCAATTTCAATATTAACGAAACATATTGTTGGATGCAGCCATAGATTAAAAAGGCTGCTGTAATCAGTACAAATCTCCCTACCTATCTCAGATTTGCAGTGTCCTATTGCCCTACGCTTCCTGAAGACAGCGACATCATCACCTTTCTCAGAGCTCTGGGCATCGATTGGCCGACAGCCCCAGCCAACTGGACCAACGAGAAGCGGGAGGAGAAGATCCAGGAGGCGCTGGAGAGCTCCCCCTACAGAGAGAGGGAAACAGAAAGAGGCAGGAGGACCAGCGGAGGAGGAGGAGGAGGAGGGAGGAAGGCAGAGGAGGGAGAGAACGAGGGAGCACTCAGGGTCAACCTGAAAAGAGTGTTCCAGGAGGAGGGGCTGCTGGGATACGACCCCAGCCTAGGTACCTGCACAGGTGAGGCCACAAGGGGACTTGTTTGTTTCAGATGTTAAATTTGAGAATCCAGGGCGTAGCCATTGTTCCTGCAGCTAATGTTTATGTTGTAAGTTGTGTTTGTGCTGAGCTGCTTTTATTCCTCAGTCAGTCTGTATTTTGTGGAGACCAAATGTCACAGTTTCAGTGTTTTATAGCACTTTCATGTAAAATGTTTAGCAAGATAATATAGTTGGTACTGTATATTTACTGGTAAGACATTGTTGGTGTATCTGTTTCAGTACACAGAGACAGTGTTTCCCATCTGGCGCAACTGGACCTAGCCACAGCCGACTGCTCAGTGAGACACACACACACACACACAAATATGTAGTATATAAATACACATTGACAATTTCCTTTTTTCTCTTTAAACAATAATAATAATAATAACAACAAAACAATGCATTGATTTGTATATCCTCGCTGTCTCTTTTACAGGTAGCCATGGCAACGGCGTTACATGTGACTTCCTGTCAGGATGAGTTCCGCCAGCAGCAGATAGCGGTGCTGTGGAGAGCCAGTGGAGCGACACACACACAGGTAACCCCACACACACGAGCACACACAATCAAGCATTGCATTGTGTTCCTGTTTTTACCTGCTCTGCTCTCCGTGTCTGCAGAGACATCTGGTGTGTGGGCCTGTGAAGACTCCGGGTTCTCACCTCACTGCTGCTCAGTACCTGCAGTAAGACGCATCACTCTCTTTGTCTGCGGTTGTTTTTTCACCATTTCTGTCTGGTTTTCTGTCTTCCCTCTGTCTCCACTTGTCTTCCCATCCTCTTCTTCCTTCCCCATCCTCTTCTTCCCTGCCCAGCTCTCCACCAGACAGATGTTTATTATCACAAACGCCCCTCTCACCAGGATCTTCTCTGCAATGTAGAATTTCAGTTCTAATTAAACTAAATTAATCGAACACTAGTGGGCGTTGATGTTGCTTTTCCTCATCTCCGTCTTATCGCTGTGTATTTTTAGCGCAGCTGACTGTAAACGAGGCGTCTATTGTTTCTTTCTTCCTCCCTCCTGCAGGCTGAGAAGAGGTCAGATGAAGGAGGCCTCAGAGATGAAGTATGGAGATCAAGTAGAAGGTGTGTGTACACATAAAGCTGCCTTTGTGTATTAATGTGCCTGTCGTTGTTAATCATATGCTCTTATTAGGAAACAAACCTGACTGATACTAATTACCATTAACTATAGATAAAGTGAACTAACTGGAGTTATTTTTATATCGCCTCCTCTTCATCGTCCTCTTGTAGGTCAGACGTGGGATGACATCATCAGGGTCATGACCTCCGCCACTGTCAGATTTGAGCTGCTGTCAACTGTCCACACTAGTCCTGTGAGTCCTCATTCCAGCTGCGTTTGCACCTGAATGTGTCATGCAGGTGGTGCCCATATTAATTCATTAAGAACGACTGTGTTTGACGTGACCAGCCTGTCAGTTATAAACACCTCTCTGTTTCACGCACAAATTGATTGACAGTTTGCTCTTTGATGCAATTAGTAGTCTGAATGATTGACAGCTGTCTGTTAGGTGACACTGGACGTCCAGAGGGAAGGGGGCGTGTCCACCAAAGGGCCGAGAGGAGGAGTGTTTGTGATGTATAACTGTGCCAGACTGCACACTCTGTTCGACAGCTATGAGAGAGGAGTGGAGAAGGGTGAGAGTTGTGCTCTGCAAGAGATTCATGTTTCATTTCGCCGATCAACAACATTGCAAACAACCATTAACTCAGACCGCTGTGGCCTGGAAGTATTCCCTTAATCCCAGAATGAAAGACAAAGTTAATAAAAGCAGAGAAAATCCATATTTCAGTTGAAAAGAAGCAGGGACAACAAATGTGGGAAACCATCTCAAAATTTGAGCTGCAGTGTGATGATATGCTCTGATTAGTTACAGCCTGATTTAATTGCTTTCATGTGAAGGTGTCCCATTGAGCACTTTTTAAAAATCAGTACAGATAATTAAATGTGATAACAATGTTTAGAAATACAAAATGATGATTAATGTGTTTTTGATTATTGCTCACTAATCAGTCCTGTGAATGGCATCCTAAACATTTGATAAAAAAATCATATATTTAATATCACATCAGCTTGCATGTGTCTTCTAACTCACAGAGGTACAAACAAAGTGAAAAATAATACTGTAGGCAGGGGCCATCAGTTAAATAAATCAATTAGGTTTTTGTTATTGTTCAATAGGTTGCCAACATAGTTACACAGGTTTTATTTGTGTGCATTTAATTTTGTTTAAGAATAAAACAGATTCATAAAACAGTTGTTTTATAAAGGGCATATGTAATCTTTCCTCTTAGTAAGTGAGGGCTGACAGGTACAGCAGCCTACGTTAATGCTCATTTGGCAAAAATGACTCACATATGCAAATATATGCATTATGTTATTAGGACATTTCTGATTTAATTAATCAGCTTTATTGACCAAGTATGTGTACACATACAAGAAATGTGAG